AAAATGAGCTGTAAAGGGTACATTAGCATTTGTCTACAACAATAACCCACTTCTTGTAATGACCAAAATTAAACTGATTGAATCTTTGCGCAGCATAAAACGTACGTCCATTCGGTACAATGGTCTGAAAATCAGACTATTACTTACTGGCTCTATAGCTCCTAAGTCGATTTGACAACTAATAGTCATTATTTTCCCACTTAAAGAAATGTTCAAGCCCCCCCCCCCTTTTTTTTTTTTTTTAGGGAAGTTCTTTTAATTAGTATTGTCTTTCAAATGCCTTTGGAATTTAACCTTTTCATTTTTTTGGCCTGCAAATGGGACATAGTATACCTTTAAAGGTACTATTTCCCATTTGCAGGTCAAAACAATGGAGAAGTTAAATTCCAACGGCATTTGAAAGATAATACTAATTTAGAACTTCCCTCAAAACGAAAAGGCTTGAGAAAGAGTTTTCGTCGGAAAATAACGACCATTAGTTGTCGAATCGGCTTAAGTAATTGCAATCATCTAATAATAATAATAATAATAATAGTGGGTTCTTGTATAGCGTTCTAAGTAATAGTCTGATTTTCTTACCCTTTTGGCCATTATTATGAAGTGGGTTACAATACTTATTGATGTAGACAAATGCTCTTGTACCTTTACAGCTCACTTTGTGTATGTTATTACCAAGTAAAACAAAAAAGTCAGTCACTCACTCAATAGTGTCTGACAGTGAAGTCTAGAAAGTAAACGAGTTTCATTGCATAATTTGAATAATAGGACACTGCTAACGTTTAAATTTCACAGATAGGACATACGTGGCATATTCATAATTCCTGCAAAGTTCTACAGATTTTGATGTTGGCTGCAAATGGGACATAGTGCCTTTAAGGAACGAAAATATTAAGGAAATTTCTCTTTCTCTCACTCACTCTCTCTCTCTCTCTTCCTCTCCCTCTTTCTCTCTCTCTCTCTCTCTCTCTCTCTCTCTCTCTCTCACTTTCTGTGTCTTTCTTCGTGTGTGTCTATATTGCGTTTCCCCCGGATTCTATATTTTACCGTTCCCATTATCAATCACGTCGCACAATAATTTTCAATCAATCAATAAGTGAGAAACGTATGGACATCTAGATAATTATGAAAAAACACTTTGTTATAGGGAAATAAATTTAAACTCAATCCCTTATACAATGGACCAGTAATAACAACATTAATTTTGAACGATATAGACAACACACGTGTACGTTGCAATTGTGATGCATTTTCCGAGGTAAAAATTTCCTTTTTTAATTACAAACTTCATTCGAAGTAAGCATTATAGATACAAGCAAACATATTCCACATGGAATGAGACATTGACTTCATCATCGTCGTAAAACTAACTGTATTATTACAACAACTCTATCGATGGTCTCCTGATTTTCGTCACATTTATTGATATCGACTATCAAATTCTAATACAAGTTTGTTTACTCAGCAACGAAATAGTCTAATAATCATACAATGTATAGTACTTAAGATTTCAAGATTTCAAATTTATTCATGTTTCCAACAAAACATTACAAATCAATTATAAGCATTTAAAACAAATTTAAGAAGTACATGTTGGAAACAGAGGGGTCCACTAAAAAGCAGTGCTTGTACAAGTGTGAACACCTTAAATGAAACTTAGGAATAATGAATAATTAAATTAACTAATCTGTAACTACAAAAATAACTACAAAATAGGGGGAATGCCAACAGAGACGAAAAAGGGACAAGACAATACTATACACGACAAAGATAGAAGAACACGGTCATAATACAAAGAGTAGACAATGACAAAAAGAAGTGAGAGATCGAGGGTACAGAAAATAATACTAAAAGATGAGCTGCATGTGGGGTTGAGAAGAAGATAAGGAAAGATAAATGCGCGTTAGAAAGGAAAAAAGCATGAGAAGGAACAATATAATATATCAAATTACATCTTAAGTATAGCAACATTTCAATTAATTTTGTTCTATATATTTTCAATCGAATTCCCCTTTACATTTTTACAGTGTATGACATAATCACATGTTACACTATCACAATATTTCAGCTTCGTCACCGTTCCAAATGACTTTCTCGTATCGTTTCAAATCATTTCAGCTCGATGTTTGCCAAGTTAAAAATGTGTTGACCTACTTTTAGATGTGCCCTAATTTACCGTTCAACCCTATCGTTATGATTATGATTTCATTTTTCCGGTGTTACGAATCGGGAACACTGTGTGGACTGTCAGAGAAGGTCAATATTCCTTGCCAAGAGCGAGAGAGTGAGAAGGGGTGTATGAATTCTATTTTGATCCATACTAGAGGTACCTATTCTGGAATAACTTGCCATTTGAAGTCAGGAAATCACCATCTGTAAACGTCTTTAAGTCAAAACTGAAAACACTTCTTTTTAATTAACTGTACCGTAAATCTAAGCATATCAGGAGCTCTTGTAGCGCAGTAGAATATATACCTATTGTTGGATAGTTTCTGCGCTTTATAAATGTACTATTATTATTATTATTATTCTTACAAGCCTTGCTTTTTTTTTTTTTTACATTCCCTCATATTTCACCTCCAATGTGGTTGATGTACCTAAGTATACCTTAATAATTTGTATTATTTATTTTTCTCTCTTCTAATTATGATAGATGTTACAACTTTCTGTATTTTTATCCTACATTGCGATAATTTCATGAAGTGGTGATGATGTGAAATCTGAAAATAAACAAATGAAACTGAAACTGAAACTGAAACTGAAACTGAACATGGAACTGAAACTGAAACTGAATACGAGAAAGAGAAAGAGTTAATACGATCAGAGAGTTACATGGAGAGAGAGTTAGAAATATATATAGGCCTATATATAAAGAGAGAGAAAGAGAAAGAGAGAGAGGGGAGAGAGGGGGAGAGAGGGAGAGAGAGCGAGAGAGAGGGAGAACAAGAAAGAAAGAAGGGAGTTAATGAAAAAATAAACATAGAGGAAAGCTTGATAAAAGAGATAGGACAATAATAGAGAATGGGTCCCTCTCAGGAGATGCGTCGATTAAAATCAGTATAACTATGCCTTCCTTTCACCCCTAGAATCAGACAAAATATTGGAAGACCATGCAGTTGAACATAAGGAAACAAAACAACATGTGTTTCATATTTCCACACAGAATAATCTTAGTTTGGACTATATCCTGTTCGAAACAACAAACTTTAAACTGATTTTATGAAATATAATACAACGGTAAATCATATACAATCATATTTCTACACGTAACTAGACTAAAGTGAAACCGATCAGAACCGGTCGGTAGAACAAAGACAAGAATAGTGTATCAGAATAGATGACAACTGCTCCTGACAGGTAATTAGGAAACCATGGCAACAATGCCACAAAAATTACTCATTGTAACAGGCATCAGAAGTTTGATAAAGTTTCGTTGCTGTCAATATCACTTTTATCTTCCATTTTTCATCATTTGCAGCGCACGAAAAAGTGAATTCCAAAGTATTTTTTTAAAATGTATTCTTAAATCGATTTTCAATTTCTTTATTTTAAAGATGACAAATCAAAAGCTACAAAAGATATTTTATAAATATTGTAGTATAATTATGTGGCTATCAGGTCTTAGAAAAATACATCACCAATGAAATCATAATTTAGGTACACTGCAGACTTATTACCTACGGAAGATGGTAATTAATGACAATTTTATCAAGCAATACCAAACAGCTTCTAATTATACTTGGAAGCATTTAGTCAAATCCATGGGATTAGAATGAGCTAATCTGACTTTATCACCTTTACACATTCCAACCTTTCAACTTTTCAACGCCAAGCAGCTATTTGTAGTCGTACTCCGTAACACAATTTCCTGCTCTCAATTGATTCGATTTATTTTCTTGAAGAGAACTTGAGACGTACGGTTCGACTCCTGTGCCGGAAGTTGATTTACTCGAGAAAAGTTTTGCTTGGCAATTCTATGACGTCATAGGCGCCCCTTGATCGACCCCAGGGTCCTAAGAGCGACGACCTTGAGAGAACTTACCATCAAGGTCACCTTTCCAAAGAGAAACATAAGAGCGTACCTGTTGAAACCAGGGGGGTGTTTCACAAAATCCTAAGTCGAACTTAAGTCTAAGTTGGACTTAAAAATTATGGAGAGTTATTTGTAGCCTTAAAATTAAATATTTCCAAAAACAAAAACTGAAGTATTTTAGACTTTTCATGAATTCCACATCAAGATAATGAAATCTCCTTGATAATAGAAAATATGAATGATTTGAATCAACATTTTATGCCTTTGAAATAACTTTTACAAGATATTTTCAATAATGCTAACGGCTTTCCATAATTGTTAAGTTCAACTTAGGATCTTTGTTAAACACCCCCTGCGATCCTATGTTTATTATGACACTTTAAAACTTGAACCATGGATGAAATACAAAGAGAAATGTATCAATAAAATCAATCTAAAGTTCCCCTTTCTTAACAAGCTGAAAAGGGCACTTTCAAATGGATCAATAAACTGACCTGACATGGTCCCCCCCCCCCCAACGAAAAACACACAAAACACACAACATTACGTGTTTATGAATTAGGTATAATAGCCCATAGTATGTTTTATTCTTTTTTTACTATTCAAATATATTCAAGAACAGAAAGGAGAATATGGTTGCACACCCATGATTACGGATGTAACAAGGTGGTGCAAATCATAATTCATATTTTTCTGGCACACATAGGCTCAAACCGGGGCTCAAACCTAATCTGAATGCAAGATCGAAGGAAATATTCCCCCGTTTCAATTATCTTGAGAAATGACAGAACGTTATCATATAAAAATGATAATAATAACCCAGTCTCTAATTTACCCATGCAGGGTAGCCACATCAGTATAAATACTGGATGGAAAGTGGCAAAAGTGGATTAACGTCTTGACAAAGGACGTTAGTACCAGGGTGGGATTCGTTATATATCTGATCATCAATGATCTATCATTTCAATTCACTTGTGATTTCTTGATAGAAATATTGGCTCATGAAGATATTGAATTACCATTTCTGATATAAACGTATACCGCATGTATAATCACATATATACGATGTTATTATAAGCAACATATTCCATTTCATTTACAAAATCAGAATAACATTTTAAAACATAAAGCGCAACACAAAATAGCGAGATTCAGTCTCTTCCAAGCTTCACGCTAAAGCCTTGTCCACTTTTTCAATTTTTTCCCGCTCAAAATACTTGAAGATGCAAGAATAAAATTGATGCGTTGCCATAGAAACAGCATCCAGCCTGTCAACTGTCGAATACAGACATCTAAACATGACCTCAACGTGTACTTTCCATTCATTAGGCCTACCTTGAACGAGACCACACTGCATTTCAGAGTTAAAATCGACATAACACAGTCCTTTACAATAATTGTCTATTATCGAAAGTCAGGTTGAACTGAATGCTGTGAAAATAGCCGCTCTCATTTGCATCCACAGAGAGAAGATCATGGTCCCTAAACTCTGCTCGAGTTTACGTATAAAATGAACCAACTTTCCTTCTCAATGACAAGCGCTGTGTAGATGGCGGGAAAATCCGTGCAAATCTGTCAAAGAAAATGGAGTGTGGTATTAAGCAAAACGCCGGGAGTGTAAAGAGACAGGGTGAAAGTACTAGGACTTTATAGTTGAATTTTGACGAATTGATTTAGAAATTAAACTTTTTGCCTTACAAAGACTCTTTTTAATGAATGGTATATGAAGTAAAACAGAGGACAAACTCCTTAAGCTCGCCATGATATCATTTTTCTCATAATTACAGACAATAATAAGTCTTTATAAGGAATGTATGTACTATGATTTAATTAGGATTTAAATATACATTGAAAATGAAATGCTAAAACAATTTTTCAAAACAAATAGGCAACTCTCCACAAGGTTTTGCAATTTTAGGCGTTACATTCCGTGCCAATAAACACTGTAAAGTAAACGTATACGTGTGCTTTGGCAGATATATAATAATCATAAAACAAATGGATTAAACTAATGAGAGGATGACTATTGCAAAAACACAGTAGGGATGTGATTTTTAGAAGCTGACATGGGAAAGCGATGAAAAAATTGAAAACAGCTTAAGTATTGATATAAATCGAAAAACTATGATTGTTACCTCTTGAAATCCTCGCTATTTCTTGACTTCCTGACAAGGATAAGTTGATCGATTTCATCGAGACGTTTGTTGAGAGAATCAGCTCTTTTAGCCAAGCTGCTCATCCCTCCACGGAGTTCACCAACCTCCCGTCCAATACCAGTATTCTCCTTCTTTAGTTTGACGCTCGACGAATGACAGCTACTCACTCGAGACTTCGCCTGTGAGAAACCATCTCCTGTGTTGGTAAAACTCTTCTCCAGTGTCATCTGTTTGGTGTAAAGCTCCCAAGTTTTTTCTCGAAGAACGGCCACTTTTCCCGCCATATGCTTCATTTCGACAAAGGTAGCATATTCAGGCGGGGGTGGTTGCTGCATGGTGTGTTCGATGATCATGGCTCGACGATCGGCTGTATTGAGTGTAAACTGTGGTGGTCTCTCTCTCTTACGAAGCGATGTGGCTGGTGCTAACATCATGTCTGTTGGTTTGGGTGAACGCGTTACTCTCCTGATTCAACAGGTCGATGATAAACGAAATGAATCTGACAGCCGTCAATAACAGGTCAAAGATTTAAACGCGGTATGACGATCATCCGGCACTTGATATATATGGACTCGAAATAAAGACGTCCGGTTAAAATTAATCTCGCTCACCCATACAAGCACGGAGGGTGTCTAAAAATCACTAGAGAACATTCGAGGAGAAAATTATTCACTGACGGATTTCAATCAACAGTGTGGTCCAAGTATATGCAATGAATACCAGTCAAATCAACCGAGAGACCTGGAGAGGTGAACTTTATTTTATGATCCAATCAAGAGTAAGAACCTGAAGACATTCGATGTATACTGAAACTGTGTCTGGATGTATACAGTTCCAAAGAGATGGTGCTTGTAAATGACCTTCTAAATAAGTTGATGATTTAGACTAAAATTATTACTATTTTCCTTCATGAAATCATTCCATGAAAGTTAAACATTTCCAGTAAGAAATAAGTTCCTGAAGGCATTCGTTCCTGTAAACTCCTTTCATTTCGGTCTTTCTAAATCAACTATCCGCTATGATCTGGTCGGAAATTTTCATAATATTTATAGAGACTTCCTAAATCTGCGTATTCAGCCAATAAGCATTAAGCAGGGCGTGATTGAAAAACTCACTACCCACTAATCAGATAGTTTATATTGCTTGCACAAGGTCTAATATATGCTGAGCCCCTTTCAGCTGGCTTCGTGCCCAGTCATTCAGTTCATATTAACCCTTCTATTCTCATCCTCTCAACTTGAAACAAGAATAGAATTGTAGCATAATTATATTATCACTCTATGACACGCATATTTATTGTTTGGTTAATCTGATTTCCGTTTTGAGAGTCTAACTGAAATATCAACACAGGCATTATGGCAAGGCATTGAAGGAGTTCAGACATTTTGGGGTGGTAATATTTTTCAAAAAATTATAGCCTGCTCTGGTTCTCCCGCCTCTCAAATAGGACCGACTATAGATAACCTCTTAATAAAAATTACTAAGAAGGTCTGACACCTTTGATCCACGGATTTCTTCCCGATCATTCTTAAGTCTCTTTTACCACTTAAAGGGATAGTTGAGTTCTGTTTTCAGAACGCAAATGCCTTCAAAGTGCATGGTTATTGCTCTTATTCTTATCTATGGCATATCTAGTGTCTTTTTAAGACCTAACATTACTATGAAGGTAGTTTTAGACCCCAATTTTTTTTTAAATTTAGCCAATACGATCATACCGATTTAGCTCCACTTTTAAAAAATACGGTGATCGTTAATCAATTAATTAATTAAAAATAACAATCCATTGGCCGGCTGGTTGTGCGTAATATAACCAACACGAAAAAGCCAACATCGGCATTAGCAAAAATACAACGTAAAAGGCGCCATTTCTTTTTCTAACGGTTTTTTCAAATTATTGAATATTTGTGGTGGTACACAAATATTAGAAATGGTTATATTTATGGATATTTCGGACGTCTCTGAACCGATTTTGACCCAACAAAGATGATTTTGTCATTCAGATATTATGTTCTTTCAAATTTGACACTCAGTTTTTCATTATCTCACAAAAAAAAAATGTGTAGCGCCCTCTGCAACAGAACACAACTATCCCTTTAACTTGATCCCCATCCCTCCTTCCCAATTGTAAATCAACCTATGCCCCATGACTATCAAGAAAATTACTCTCACGAAATAAATATGGGTGTCATATACTTGGCTCGTCAAAAAATATGACAAGTCTGAAGTTCACCATAAAGACATATTAGATCTATTTTCATTGTGGTTCTATTTTCAGCATCAGTGACATTGTCACATCCTGTATTACATTGATTTATTGTTTTGTTGGAAACGGTAAGAAAGTACCCTTGGAAGAAACCCCGGGCTTCAGACAGACGAACAATTGTTCTATATAATGAACAGGAGTAATGCCATGCAGAGTTGAGATGTAGAGTTATCACGATAAGTAAGGGCTGCACCCAATCCCTGACCTAGCAAGTTCATGTCTGATGGGCGTTTCATACTTGGTTTGCGAGGAAAACACAAGGTTGTATGTTGAAAATATTAAGATAAGAAAAAGGATGGGTAAGGCCATGATCAGTCCAGAATAAATAAACTTTTAAAGTTCTAAATTTTCCCACTATACATAAATTAGCAGCACCTTTTAAGGGTATAAAAATCAGGTTAAACTTTTAAAAGTGATTGTGCCGGTCAGGAGGGAAATGAGCTGACTTAAATTTTGCTTAAATACTCGTATTGCGTGTGCTCTTTTCCATGGTAAAACCAACCTGTATCAAGCCAAGTTAATCACATAAATAAAGATTTTTAAAATTACTGACATCGGTTGTATGAGGTGGGTGGAAACGATGTCAGCGTAACATCACAGTAATCCCGTATACACCTCAAAAAGTTTGATGAGTACATTCTTGTAATAATTAAGGAGACGTCAAACTACATTAATCATTCTTCTTGTTTTCCCCTTTTCGACCCTCCTCACCATGCGCTGATTGTTAATTGTTTAACACAAGGTGACAGATACTCACCACAGGTATGACAGGCGATGGAGCTGAGGAAATAAAGGGGGGAGAATGTAGATACAATAATAAAAGAATAAAGAAAATTGTTGTGGTTTTACAATTTTCAAGTTTTAAAGAGAAATAAAGACCATGATAGAGAAATAAAGACCATGAACGAAAATTAAAGACCATGACCAATTACGAAGGGCAGGTTTAAATCAGATTGATATGTGCAGATACTATGTGGCATGCATTAGATCGGTGTTAGAGTATGCTTGCCAAGTATTTCATGGAGGTCTGACCAAAGAACAATCCGAAATGTTAGAGTCCATCCAAAAAAAAGCAGTTAGAATTATTTCACCTGGACTATCATACTCTGACGCCCTTGCTTTCTTAACCTCCAATCCCTTTCTGAACTTAGACAAAAACTATGCCTTAATTTGTTTACCCAAATTCGTAACCCCAGCCACATGCTAAACCATCTTCTTCCTGCTCCAAGAGAAACAAGATACTCTCTTCGGAACAGCAAAGACCTGTACCCTCCCAAATGCAAAACTAATAGATACAAAAATAGCTTCATACCCTGGTGTCTGTTTAATCTACAATGATCTTGCCAAATTTAATGTATTTTTATTGTCCTTTTTATTGAGTATATTCTCGTTAATCAAATGTAATAATTTTAATAAGAAGACATCAATCCTATTTTACATATTTGTAATTATCATACGACACCGTTTTATTAGTGTCTTCAAACTTTGAAAAGGGTATTAAATTTAATTAATAATCATTATTGCCAATTTTATATTGAATTAAAGTACCGTTTAGACATTTTACTTAAGTTACACACTTGTTCATTATATGAATTTTAAAATAATTGAGAATGTAACAAATTCGATATCAATTGAATTTGTCTGGATTAATTTTTACAAATAATGCATTATACCACCACTCAATTTGGGTTTACTGTCTTTTTTTTTTTCCTTCAAAATATTCCTCAATTGTAACTGTTCTGAACAATACGTTGATGTCAGTTGATATATGATTATTGGTCCATATATTTATGTTTAAATCTTTTTTTACATATCTGTTATTATTATAAGACACCGGTTTATTAGTATCAAACTTGGGGGTACTTGTATTCAAGCTTTGTACATGGTATTACATTTAATTAATAATCATTATTGCCAATTTTATATTGAATTGAGGTGCCGTGTAGATGTTTTACTTAAAATTACACACTTGTTTATTATATGTATTTTATAATAATTTAGAATGTAACAAATTTAATACCTATTGAATTTGACTGGACATATATATATTTTTATTTTTTTTTTTTTTTTTAATACGGATAATGCATTATACCACCACTCAATTTGGGTTTACTGTCTCTCTTTTTCTTTCAAAATCTTTCTCAATTTTAATTGTTGAACAATACGTTGATGTCAGTTGATATATGATTATTGGTCCTGTGAAGTCCTATGTACCTTTTAATTATGTTTAAATGCGATTGCTCTTGAGTGTTGTTTTTTTCTTCTTTTCATATCTATGTATTTAAAGTGTCAATTTATACAGTTTTATTGTACAGAATATATATACATATAACTATATTGTGAACCATTTATATGCCTGCCTTTTTTACTGTATGAAATCCAACTTAAGGTTGCAATAAATGAATGATTTAATATGACAGTCATACAAACAGAAGTCCCGAGATTAAAGGCAAACTGCACATGGTATGTGGTATGACATTTTATGTCACTTTGATTGGGGAAGTGGTAGGGGGGGGGGGGTCTCAAGAACATTCAACATTGAGCAGACCAAGGTTTAACTGCCGTCGCTATTCACCATATCCGCAATCGATTGGATTCGGAATAATCAGTAAGCGAGCGGGATTAGAGGAAAGCGAATTAATTTGATTAGCCCTCACCCGAAAATAGTATTTCAAGTTATACACTCCTGTTTAGCTACGTGATATTAACCAAAATGTATAAAACCTTGTACTTTTGATGTCTGCGTAGTTTTGCATAACATGTCTGAGCTTTGGCTGATATCCTTCAATTAATGAAATTACATTTTTTTTAAACCAATAGATAAATAGCCCCTTTAACATGTTTTAACCACTAGACACATGTTATGAATTGGAAAAATCTATTTAAAGGAGGATAACGGTTTGTTCACTGGGTTCATCTAACTGGGTGAGGAATGCAATATTAACAAGGACTAAGTACTTGAAGCATACGTCATAATGAATTAAATATTTGCACCGTTTGATTTATAATTTCGCGGAACATGTGAAGACGGAAATAATTTATTAATGGATATCAAATTGATGACGAAATTATTAGGCTTACATGTAAACGGCATTTGAAGGAAAATAAAGGAGGCGTGAGAGAGAGAGAGTGGGGCGACAGACATAAATTAGGAATTGAATGGAAAAAGGGGTATAAACAATTTATTGGTGGAGGGGAAAGGGGAATAGAGCATAGACAGTGTATATAGG